ATCAAAATCGAGTTACAAGTTCAGTTCAAAAATCCAAAATTAACAAGATCCAATTGAATTTTCAAGCTTTTTCAATAGCTCAACAATGATGTTTTTTGAATTTTTCACCCATCTTTCACAAAACCTGTGATAAACTTTTAAATCTAGCACACTTAAATGATTTTAAAAACCCAATTGGATATGGCTGTTGCATTACTTCGACGATGCTGAATCTCTGATTTTTTTGTCCTCCTCTAATTCTTGGCAAATATATTTGGTGGTATGTATGAAGGCATAAGAAGAAATGCTGCAATAATGGAAGAAGATGGAAAAGAATAGTGGATTTTTATTCTAAAAAATAAAGAAAAGGATTTAGAAAAATGAAAAGGCTGGACAGTGCTGTCAAAATGCCTTTAGACACAAAATTTTGATCGTTCACTCGCCTCTTATGTGTGAAAAACACGCGAGTGACACGTAATCAAAAATGTGTGTTTTTGACACGCTTTTGAAAGGTTTTGTGTGTAAAATAAAACTCGTGATCAACAGGTGTGTAACAGGGATTTGATCGTAAGTTGAATGGGTAAACTATGTATTTTGCCTAATAATTATAAAGCGTAGAAAGAGAAGAATTAAATATCTTCCAAGACCTTGGACTGTTTTAAAATAATAAAACGCAATGCACAAGGTATGAAAATAAATAAGTTGCTCTTAGTTGGAATATTACCATCCTGGATTAGTTTAAAGGTTAAATTAGCTTTGCTTATTTTTCTAAAAGAATAATTACGCCAAGAGAGCACAATATGTACTGGTGCTACCAAATCTAAACCTTAAAGCTAAGTGGAATAAGAACTACTTATGTTAGTTAGTAGCATCATTTAATTATATAAAGGATTAGTTAACATGCAATATGAATAGATTAAACTATGGACTAATATGGGAGTGAGTGACAACTGACATCATTGTCAGTTAGGAGAAAAGTCATAGGTACAACGACAGAATACCAATAGATACACAAGTAAACGTTGTAGCGAAGTGGTAAGTAGGTACTCCTTTATCTTTAATCAGATATGTCAGGTTCGAGTCTTAAATATAGAGTTATTTTTAATAAGGAACACTTTATCCCAAAAATGGAACTTAATTCATCGCATGAATCTAAATTAATCGGACCTCAAAACGGAAACTGAACATTACGTGAGAAACCGAAAAGGAAAAAGAATATCAATAGATGCAAGTATTTCTTGCAACCTAAACAACAAGGATGGAAAATGGACCCTCAACTAATGTTATAATCAACCAACTTTCAAGTGTTATAGGTTAGAAGACTTGGCACCAACTTCATAATGATGGCTGCTTATGTTAAATCATCATTTTACTACAATTTCTTTTCTTCCTTCGCTTCAGGCCCACTTAATGGTCCCCTTTTCTCAGTAAATTCTCTCTATAGTATTTCAGAAGTGACTGCACGCTTGATTAATTTTATTTTTCGGTTTTCAATCAGGAAATTGCTGGCAGCTCACACATTTTGGTGATCTCGACTTGATCAACTCTTCTATATGGCCAATCATGAAAACATTAGTAACCTTAATTAGTTGTCACTTGGTATTTGAACCTGTGACCTAAAGTGACCTTTGTACCCCTTTGTTATTATACTTGGTCGCAGACAGAGACAAATTCAGTATTTGGATTTTATGGATTTAAATTAGTAATTTTATCACCTTCGTTTATTTTACTGAGTTTAGAATCTATTATTTGTAGATATTTAGTTGATTTTTTCGCATATATACATGGTCTAAGTCGAAAGAACCCATAACTTATTCATTGGATACAACCCTGGAGACGGATCTGGCCTCACTGTACCGGGTTTATCTGAATTCAGTATTTCTTGATGTGATATATAAATTTATGTGTAAAAGCTCACTAAAATTGTAACAAGTAGTAGATATGAACTCATAATCTAAAAAAAATAATGAGTTCAATGCTAAAAACTTTAAAAGTTAAACCCATAAAGCTTAAATCTTGGATCCAACTCTGACTACACTAAAATCTTTCCTTATATCAGGGGATTTGTTTACATATAATAAAAAATTGGCTTTCTCCTATTTTCACATAGTATAAAATTTCAACGATATTTGAATTGAATCATCTTTGTTCTACGTAACTGTATGAGTCCAAATTTCGACGACCACAATCATTTGACAAAGGTAATGGAAGATGAGATCTTCGTAAGCGGGACGTCCTACGAGGGACGACAGATAGCGGATAGAGGACGAATAGCTGTTGCAGCAGTGTAGGCCCAATTAGGGGTATTTTGGAATATTCTCACGAATATTCCCTAGGGTATGTTCTCTAGGGTGCAGAAAGGGGTTAACCCTTATATACAGTGGAGAAAATACCTAGTAGAGGGATCTTCTTGAGTTTTTTGGGCCTTTTCAGTTGAAAGCAAAACTTGTAAACTCTCTCCTATATTGAAGATTATCTTTCTCACTGTACAATTAACGCCTTTTTCATAAGATCAACAAATACTTTCCATCGTGTTCATTACTTGTGTCTTCTGTTCTAGAGCTTATTATGCTTAGCTAAGATTTACCCCTTCATTTTCTTTGATTGATTTGTTCAATAAGATTCTAATATCTTTTGAATCAAACAATTTGGCGCCGTCTGTGGGGATTTCTTTAGCTGAGACTTTAGTTTCATCTAGATCCTTGAAAGAAATAATCACCTCTTCCTGGCTCGCAAAGATCAACAATGACAGGAAAGGGGGAAACAAGATTAAAAGCGATAGTAGGCGTCACTAGCAACCTTATGGATTCTATCAACGAAGCCGGCCGGAAAGACAATGAAAATACAACGCCAGGCGCCACACCCGAGGGAGATATCTCACCCCCCCCTCCCGCACGAAGGCGTGACTGTCTCGCGCGAGAGGGAAACTTCAACATCCGCAGCAGGAGAAGCTCCACCGGCTGTGAAAATACTATTAGAAGAGTGGTTAACAAACACCTTGAGCGGTATACTCGACAAACCTGTTCAAATAGATATCGGAGGCACAATGCGCGCTGACACCACAACTATCACCGATGAGCTAGAAACTCCACGCGCAGGTGATGCTCACACTGACAATGATGCAGGTAATGACGCACTTGCAGCCATCCTAAAGAAAATGGAAGAAATAGAAAATGAGAATAAAACGCTCCGTGATTAGATGAAGGAACACCAAGAAAGGGTCGATAAAATACCGGGCGCTCCAAAGATGCTACCAAAACGAGATGTCGGCCGATTCATCGAGCAGCCCTACAGTGAAGCGGCAGCCCCCCATGCTATTCCAAAAACCTTCAAAATGCCGCCATACTTAAAAATATACGATGGTACCACAGACCTAGAAGATCACATAATCCACTACGTCACGGCAGTGAAAGACAACGACCTATCGAAAGAGCAGGTGTCATCGGTGCTGCTGAAAAAGTTCGGTGAAACCCTAACAGGGGGAGCACTGACGTGGTATTCCCAACTGCCGGCACGGTTGATATCAACGTTCGAAGAAATGGCAGATAAATTCGTCACCGCTCATGCGGGAGCGAAAAAAGCAGAAGCCAGGGTAAACGACATCTTCGCCGTTAGACAGACGACAGGCGAGGGACTTCAGGATTTCCTAGCCCGATTCAACAGAGTAAGAATGAGCCTACCCAATGTATCGGAGGGGATGGCGGTAGCATCCTTCCAAAATGGGTTAAATACAAATGGGTCGAAAGCAACAAAAAAACTGCTAAGAAGGCTCATGAAATACCCTCCCACTACGTGGAAAGAAATCCATAACGCATATTGTGCCGAAGTAAGGGCAGATGAGGATGACTTAAATGGTCCGATCCAACAGCTAACCTCAGTACAAACCGAAATAAGGAGAGACCGCCGTAACGACGGTCGAAGGGACCAACTATCCCGTTTCAATCGAGAGAGGCATCAGCCCTACATCCGGACATCCATTCCACCTCTACCACGACATGCAAACGTCACGCCCCGACGCATCGTGCCATAGCAGAATGAGAGAGGTATGCCCCCATATTGTCTGCTCATAACTTTTGCGTTTCTCCTTTAGAAATAGTGTATGCACTAAAAAAGCTCGGCACGAAGGTGCAGTGGCTGCAAAAAATAAAGTCGGATCCAAGCACCCGGAGATCGAACGTTCTGTGCGAGTTCCATCAGGAAAGGGGACATAAGACCGAAGATTGCATAGGCTTGCGACATGAAGTGGTAAGAATGCTGAACCAAGGACACCTGAAAGAACTGCTGAGCGATCGAGGACGGGCTAACTTCGCTCGTGGGCGCGATCAACCCCAAGGACCCCCAAAACCACCTTCACCGGCTCGTGTCATACAAATGATCATTGGCGGCGGTGATGATACAGTAATCAACCATGTGAAGTTCACCACTACATACAAACTCAGGCGAACAGTCGCTCACGAACGGTATGATGACCTCGAAGATAGTATCATCTTCGATAAGTCAGATACCCAAGGTTTGTCTTTCCCTCACTATTATGCTCTGGTTATAACTTTACGTATTGCGGATACCGATGTAAAAAGAATAATGGTGGATGACGGAAGCGGTGCGTGTATTATCCACCCACGAGTCCTCGCACAGATGAGACTCAGGGATAAGATAATACCGCGCTGCATAACACTAACGGGTTTTAATAATGCAGTTGAATGAACCTCAGGAGAGATAATGTTGCCCGTTCTGGCTGGAGGAGTCACTCTGGAAATGACTTTTCACGTCATGGACCAGGAAACAACCTACAACGCTATCATAGGACGTCCATGGATACACGCCATGCGAGCCTTCCCTTCAAGTTTCTACCATGTGATCAAATTTCCTACCCCATGGGGAATATTCAGCATCCGGGGCGAGCAATGTACCGCCCAAGAATGCTACCGCATCGCCCAGGATTGCGCGCATACCCAACAACTAAAGGGAGCGAGTGCGGAAGCATAGCAGTCAGCCGTGTCGGGAACCAAGCCCGACATACAAATAGAGGCCATCAAAGATCCGGATGTCGTAGAGGCCTGCAAGGCAACTGTGGAAGACCTCGACCCCGTTCAATTGGACAACACTAACAGCACGAAGAAAGCTTATATCGGGCACAAGCTCTCAGAACCAGGTAAGTTCCATGAATTCTTAACTAACAATGCTGATCTGTTTGCCTTCTCCCATTCAGATATGCCGGGAATCCCAAGGGATATCGCCACACATCGGCTAAATGTCGACCCTCTCTACCCGTCTGTGCGGCAAATGAGGAGAAAGTTCAAC